CGGGCCACTACGCGGCCTGGACCGCCGGCCGCCGGGCCCGGCCCGTCCCCCGCGGCCACCTGGCGTCTCAGGCCTCCCCGGCGCCCCCGCGGTCATGCCACGCGCCCCGGCGCCAGTTCAGCGTGGAGAAGCTGCCCGAGGCCTTCAGCCCACAAGCCCCCCGCCTTTACGGCAGCGCGGGCCGCGCACCCCGGCACCTGAGCACCAACAGCAAAGCCGAGGTCACCGTGTGAAGCGATGCCACTGGTCCCTCCCTAGTCATCGCTGGTCCTGGGCCCCAGGCCAGGAGGAGAGGAGCGCTCGCCCGGGACGGCCAGCCCTTGCGTGCCCAAACTGTACTGGCGGCATTGGAGCCTGCAGGGAAAAGTAGGGCCCACTGGGTAAGGACAGTGGTTCTGTCCTTGGGGCCGCAGGGCCCGGGTTCCTCGTGTAAATAAACCCTTTTCTGTGGTCCTACCCCTGAGAATAAAGGAACCCCAGCTTGGCTGTGAGTGACGCTGATGGTGTTGGTCATTGGCTGGACAGACGGCTGTGCAGGCAGAGGGCACAGCATGTGCAAACACCAAGTGTGCTGAGAGCCAGGGAGAGGTGGCTAGAGAGGGTGGCCAGGGATGAATGCCAGGCTTAATGTTCACACTGGTGGGAGCCATGGGAGAGGGGACAGTTAGGCTTCAGGCATCTTATGGCCTGGGCACAGGGGAGAGGATTGTTGGGCCTGAGGCCCCCTTGGGGGAGGCGGGGTCCATGCCCTCTCCTGGAGGTAAGCCCCTCCAGCCAGTCACCCGCTCTACCACTTGAGTCAGCTGAACCTGGCTGATCCTCACTGACAATCTGGCTGTAGGCCAGCCCCTGACCTGCAGGCCGCTTGGCCAGGTTGGCCCAGGGCCACCCTCCTAATGGGTGTGGGCCATTGGGACATCTGGTGCTCAGGATGGGCAGCCTCCTCCAAGAGCTGCTCTGGGGAAAGAGGCTGGGGATGCTGGAGCAGAAGCCCCCGCAGTGACCCCCCCAGGGGCTCACACCACACATGCCTGGCACTGCCAGCTCACCCCTTCCTGCCAGGAGGGCTCCCGGTACCTGGCTTGGCCCAGGGCCTTGCCGGCAGCCTTCATGCATCTCCCACAGAACCTGTGCCAAGTACTGTTGGGGAGGTTGGAGGGCTGGGCTATGGCCAGTTGAGGTGTGACTTCAACAGAGCCAGCCAGTCGGGTCTGTTTTTCTGCAGTGTACCCTAAGTATACTGTTTTACTAATAATGGTCGCCATTTATTGCTGTTTCTCATTTAATCCTCACAAGAGCCCCATGTGGGAGGAGGGTGTCTCTACAGATGAGGAAATTGAGGTTTTGAGATCTAAATAACTTACCCAAGGTCAACCCACTGACTCCCAGGTTAGAAGCCTTTTTTTTTTTTTTTGGTAGGAAGGAGGATCCGAACCTGTGACCTTGGTGTTATAAGGCCCAGCCAGGACCCTCCTTTACTCTGCTGCCACTGTGAATCTGATGGTGGCATGACAGGCAGCTGGCAGCCTGGGTGAGAAGTTATGAACATGTTTCTTGGCAGGGAGAGGCCCTGCTCCTAGGGTATAGGCAGCCTCAGACCTTCCTCCTGCTGGCTGGACTGCCCTGAGGTCCCCAAACCCACAAGGCCTGGTCTGTTGGAAGGTCCACCTCCCTGTCCCCTAAACCTTTTGAGGAAATCAAGGCCCAGAGCCTGGGCCAGAGCCCTGAGCCCATGGTGCTACCCACATCTAAGGCCCCCATGGCTTATAGGGGTGAAAAGCCCTCACACTCTCAATGGAGTGGGGGTGGGGTGCCCCCAGCCCTATCCCACAGCTGTGTAGAGCCAGAGGGGAGTGGGTGCTGAGTCATGGAACCTGCCAAGACTCACAAAGCGATAGGGCTCTACAGCCACCTACAGCCACCCACCCTGGTGACACAGGCCCTGGCTGGGCTGTGTTGGGAGGTGGGCAGGACCCCTCTGCTCATTCTCAGTCCCAGGGGTCCAGATCTCTATCCCACTGGGGCCAGGCTGAGGCCATGGGCAGTGGCCATCACTGAAAATACTGATCTAACTGTAGACATGACCAGCTGCAGCTCGGCCCCTCCTGGCCACTCTGGTATCCAGGACAGTGTGGCCTACTTACTGTGACTGTAAGTGTGATGCTCAGAGGTGAAGGTGAGCAGGGCCAGGCCATATGCCTTGCACTTCAGACCTCAAGCTCATTCCCATGAGGTACCCTGGACTCCACCTCTGACAAGGCCCAAAACTCCCATCTTAACCGCTCCTTGTGGTCTTGAACGCCCTGGGGTGTCTTAAGCCAAGCCAGGCCTCTCACCAGCCTCACAAGGCACTTACCATACATACACTGGTACTTTATGTGTCATGTCATTTGAACCCAGCTGACAAGCCTATGGGTCTGTAGTCAAAGGCAGGGATTAGCATCCTCATTCTGCACATGTGGAAGTGGAGGCAAGGCCAACCCCACCCAAGGTGACCCAGCTGGGAAGTACAGGAGCTGGACCTGGATCTGACTCACAAGCCAGTGAACCTCCTGAGGGTCACTGTCAGTAGAGGAGGGGAAACAAAGGAGCAGCCTATCCAATGGGGGAGAGATTTAGTGCCCCAAATCCCAAAGAACTGCTGCTGTCAGCCAGCTCTATGTCCAGGGAACAGAGCCGGTCAGCTCTATGTCCAGGGAACAAGTTGGAACCTGGACATAGTGACCTCTGACCCCAGAAGCACCACCAACATCCCTTTTGTCCCAGGCCCTTGGCCAGCCCTGGAGTGGGGGCCAGGCACCAGAATGAAGGGGCCAGGTATGCTGGCGGGCTAGGAAAGCCTGTTAGACTGAACCGACCCAGGGGCTGCTCAGCAGTGAGAGGGAGGGCTGCCCTCAGTTCCTAGCACACTGCAGGCCAAGTCATGCAGCCACCTGGCTAGTTACCATAGCAGTCACACTACAGACCCTCACACACCTTGTGCTGAGTGGTACCAATCTGTGTTTATTGGATAACCTACGTCCTGGACATGGTGAATGATTCAACATCAAGGAAGCCATAGGCGTGTCCCTCTTTTCAGTGAAAAGCCACCCCCCCACCCCTAAATAATAACAAGGCACAGTATATACACATGACATAAGGGTTAGGCTGACCCAGTGGGCAGGGTCCATAAATTACAGTGAAAGTGGGGGGAGAGGCAGAAGATAAGAGTGGGTAGGGTCCAGGGACAGACCCAACTCAAAGCTAACCCATTCCAGCCTGCACTCAGCATCAAGGAGTCGCTGCTGTGAGCACCACCAAATCTGTGCTGGGGCTCCTGCCTGCCCTCTGCCCCAACCAGGAGGGTAGGAAGCACAGGAAGGGAGGGTCCCTTAGTCTCTCAGGAGGCTTTGGGAGAAAAAGACGCCAGGGAGGCACCAAGCCAGGGGATCCAGAAAAGTGGGATCACTTTTCCTTCAAAGACCCCCATCAAGGCAGGGGACTTCATTCCTAGTGCCCATCCTTTGCCCACCCCCAAAAGAGGGGCTTATCACTGGGGAGGAGTTAGGGGCTGGTCCCTGCCACTCTGGCTTATTTTTAGGTCAAGAATCAGGGATAAAAATATACTATGGAGGTAGGAGTTGGGGTCGGGGGTGGGAGACTGAGAAACCACAATGAAGGACCCTGGCCCCCAGTCCTAATGGGGGGCTTCATCCCTCCCAGCCCCCTGGGCCTACCCTGAGCTTGGGCTGACATCCCAGAGGATGGGGGAGTGGGAAGGAACAGGACAATTAAATAAGATACTGTTTATTTTTTAAAAAATTAAAAAAGAATGCAGATATTATTTCTTCCATCCCTAGGCCTGCCTCCTGCCTCCCACCCGCCTCCCTGGGGCTGGACTCCCAGCTCCTTCCCTGGCTGTCCCATGTAATGAGAAGAAAACAATGAACTGTCTTAGTGAGGCACGAGGGAATGCAGACCCAGGGAGAGAAACAGAGATGCTACAGCAATTTCGCCCTGCATCACGGCAAACCCAAGCACACTGATATAAAAACATTCGTATAAAAAGGGGGGAAGGGGCATGCTGAGCACAGCCCCGAGGGCAAATTGCTCCCTGGTACTCAGAGACCTATGTCCCCCAGAGAGAGCCTGATAAAAAATGAGGAAGCAAAAGGGGAGAGAAATGTTCAGAGGAGAGAGGATCTCAAGAGGGCTGGAGGCAGGGGCTTGGCAGCTTGGGAGCTCCCCCTGCTGCTTTTGAGTCAGGGATGCCCCCCAATTCCTGCCCAGTCTTTCTTCTCTGGCCCACCAGGCCCTAGACCACAGGCATCTATTGACAGCAGCTTTAAGGGGCTCTGCCTAGGGGCTTGCTGGCCTGAGGTGGTCCAAAATTGGCAGGTGACAGCTCAGAAAACAAGGCTCATCCCTACAGCTCTGAGAGAGAGGAGGGAGAAAAACTAGAGACAGAGGGAGAAGGGAGAGAGAGACTGAGAGACACAGGTGGAGGGAGGTGTGCTGAGCCTGGTGGTCAGGAGGCAGCAATGGCAGTGCCGCCACCCAGCTTGACAATCATCTGCTGGCAGTCGTTGCAGGAGCGCCGGTCGCCCACCTTCTCCAGGGTGCGGGCAGCCTCAGCCAGCAGCACTGCCCGCTGGCCCGGGGAGGAAAGGAAGGAGAGGGGAAGGTGGCGGCAGGCTAGCAGGATGGCAGTGGCCCGCTCTCGCTGGCCAGGCCAGGCATCCACCTCTCCTGTGGGAATGATGAGATACCTTAGGAAGTAAGAACCTGCATACAGCAGGTGCTGTTCCAAGGGCTTAATGCAGACTCACTGAACCCTCACACCCATCCTGGGAGGTAGGTTCTGCTGCCCTCCCTAGTTCACATGAGAGATGACCTTGGCCGGTGTTACACAGCCAGTATGTGGTGGGGCTGAGGTGGAACCCAGGTGCTCTGGCTCCAGAGCCCGTGCCTCTATCCCTGCTCCTACACAAGGACCTACCCCTAGCCCTCCCTCCCCACTCAAGGCAGGACCCATGAGCACTCGACTAATGCCTGCCCCCGCCCTAACTCCCCACCAAATCAAGCTCTGGGCTTCTTTCATTCTTACACCACCTCAGAGAAAATGCAGATGAGGACATCACTGCAGCTCAGAGGTGAGAGGCATGAGGCACGCTTGAGCGCACTCTGCCAGATGAAGAGCTGGGCTGGGCCCCCCCTTCCACCTCTCTGCTCCTAGGGCAGGGCTGGGGAGCTGTGGGACTCACCGTGCTTGGCATTCTGTGTGGTGCGCCGCCGCAGGCTGTGCTCCAGCAGTTGGTGAGTGCGAGTGGGGCTGGCTCCTGCCATCAGGCGCACAGTGGCTTCATGCAGGAACACCTGGGAAAGGGCAGGGCAACACACAGTCGAACCGAGGGTCCTTGCCTGTCTGTGCCTCAGTGGTTGCTTCCTGAGCCATCTCATCTGCCATACCACTCTACCTTGCTCATCCCTTGAAAACAACCTGTTGTCCCCCACTCTGACCCTGAGCCAAGCCAGAAACCTGGATGAGCAGCAGGATAGGGGAACAAAGCACAGGCCAGCTGGCAGAGGTCAAGAGCAAGAGGCAAAGGGCCTGCTTTCCTCCACTGGTGATGTACCCTCTGGAGTTGGAGGACAAGCAGCCTGGGTGTAGCCTCAAGTCGCTGGAGGCTGCCTCCAGCTTGACAAAAGAACAGGTGAGGCAGGGACAGAGGGTGAGGAGGGACAGCTGGGCTGGCACCAGAGAGGTTCAATGTCCTGTTTCCAACTGCTTCTTCAGAAAGGAACAGAGCCAGACATTTTCAGGGGAAAGCCCTGCAGCTCAGGTAAATATGAGTCACTGCGGGGTGGAGGGCAAGGCCTAGGTCTCTAATTTCTTATATCTCCAGCTCCTTTATGCCTTGCCATCTCAGTCTTTGGGGAGGGTCTTCTGTGCTTCTGGTTGGACTGTAGCCCCAGTAGGCAATGGGAAGCCACAGAAGGGTTCTCAGAAGGGGACAGACAGGATGGAAATGATATTTGAAGAGGCCTTTGATACCAGCCATGCCATCAGAGGACCAGAGGGCCGGCCAGAATGGGTTCCGGGTGGCAGGAGCAGTGCCTCAAACCTTGGGGCACACTTCCTCTTTTCCACAGTAACGGGTGGTTCTTTGATGACTATATTTTGTCTGGTGTGTCTGTCTTGGCTCACTGCACCAGTGGCCACAGCATGACCCTGTGAGGGTCCCACAGCATCTTAGAGTGATGGGCATGGGGGCTGAACACCAGTCTCTATGACAGCAGCCTCGCTCTGAGATCTTCTTTTTGTCCCTTCCAAACACAGCCCTTTGCCCCTCACTGACACTTCTGGGTCTCCTCACTCAAATTTTTAGAACATAATCCAGGTAAAAATATGTCGAGTACGTTACTTTAATTAGCAATAAAAATAAAATAAACAAGGAAATGACATGAGTCCCACTTATACAACTGTCCTCAGAGACTTATCTCAGGTCCTGTGGCCATCGCCAAGGGGATGTTTGGTAGGGAAGGTCTGTGACAGAACCAAAGCCCCAGTGGCTCAGAAAAAGGATTAAAGTGAACTTCCCTATAAACGCAGTTCTAGGGAGACTCTGTCACTGTGACGACCAGTTATGAAAGTCAGCATGGAGTGCCCCACTTGCTCCCACTCCCCTCAGAGCCTTTCCACCACAGCATTTGGGCTGGTGAGGTATGGTTCTATGCTAGCCTCTGTCCAGGGGCAGAGTGAGGCCTGCTCCCTGCTGTGCTCCAGGGCCAGGCACGCAGCAGGTACTCAGCCAACATGTGCTCAACAAAGGAATGTGTGGCACCCAGCCCAGTGTCAGGCCTGAGCAGGTGCTTGACAGGTCACCTGGCTGACTTCAGGGGGCCAACTCCATAATTACACACTGGTACCTGTGCTGGGTTCTGGGGCTCAGGCCCTACAGACCCCAATCTGCCCTCCCCCACCAGTCAGCCAGGCCTCACCTTTCGGTAGGCTGGGCGGAAGCTGTGCGCCAGCCTGCGCAGACTGCCCAGGTCCCGCTGGAAGCCAGCCAGCTCCGTGCCTGACGCATGGTAGGTCTCACCTAGGGCTTGGCTGGCACCTGCCTGCTTTTGCCAGAGCACCGTCCGCAATGAGAGTAGCAGGTCACAGGTGAGCAGCTGGACCACCTGTGGGGTGAGCCACGAAGGAGGGGAAAGGTAACTGGCCTATCCCTGAGTCAGGGATCCCAGTACCTACCAGGATCTCCCCCAGCCCAACACTCAGCAGCTCTGAGAGGAAGTGGCGAGCCCAAGCCTGGAAAACTCTCCACAGAGAGTGAGAGAACAGCTGAGGGGAGAACTAACCCTTTCCATGATGGTGGGAGGTGGGAGATTTGTTCTCCCCATTCTGCAGGTGAGAAAGCTGAGGCTCAGAGACTGACAGCAGCTTGTGTAGGGGACACAGCATGGGTGAGTGGCAAGGGCAGTGGCAGAAACAAAACTCTGTGAGTCTGAAGGCACAGGTTCTCCCCCCTCACAGGGCCCCATGGCTGACCTGGAGGCTGAGATACAGAGAAGGTGCCAAGGCCTTCCTCCTCCATAGGAATCAAATAGCCTGAAGTGGCAGCACAGCCTGGAGATTGGGGAGGTGGCAGAAGGAGGGGGAGGAAGTGTCCAAGAAGGCAGAACCTCAGAATGGTTTCACGTCTGAGTGTCAAACTGACTGACCTGGATTTATCTTGATTTGCCACTTATTAGCTACATGACCCTGGCACATGACTTAGATCTCTCTGTGCCTCGTTTTTCTCATCCATAAAATGGGAATAGCACCACAAGGCTGTCGTGAGAGCATTATAGGGGACTGCACTGCATGTGGGCATGATGCCACACAAGCGTGGGCTATACGTACTCTCTGCACACTACCTATGAGGCAGGGCTGCCCACCTGATTCCCAATGGCCCATCAGCACCATGCAGAGCAGTGAGGAGACAGCAAGTCCTTTTTGAGATGGGCCACAAGCAGCCCTCAGGTTCAGATGGACTCCACCCATCTCACCCAGCCCTGGCTTTCCTTTTCCCCAAGGCACTGCGCCTAGGGAGGTCACTGTGCTGCCCTAGACCCCACCCTGGATCCTGCTCTGTGCCCACATGATGCCCTACCCCTTGGCTGTGCTGTTTTCTGGCTGCTGACAGCCTCAAGGAGACATGGATGAGGATCCCCCTCCTCAAACAAAACCTAGCACTTCTACAATGTGAGCGCTAGAGGAGCACCTCTGGGTATGGGAGCAGCCTCAGAGGGCTACCAGGCTCCAGGGATCTCCCTCTTCTAGGCTCATTCCCCCGCCACAGAACTGAGACCCAGGAATCCTAGCCCCAAGGATGGCTGCAAGCTTCTCTCTCATTCCTCACACTTAGCTGACAGTGTTTGGTTCTCTCATAAAGACAAATATCAAGGAAGCCCAACAGAAAGCCCAACAGAAAAACTGAGATGTGGCTCCCCATTCTGCTTGTGGTCTTGGCAGCCCAGGGGACTTAGACCCTTTCTGCACATTGCCTGTCTCTGTGGGGCTGGCATGCCGTCCTGGGTGCACCTCAGCACCCAGACCCACTGAAAGCCTCTAGCTTGAAGTGCCAGTCTGGCCACATGGGACCAAACCCCAGTGAGTGGCTCAGAGTCTGACCCCCAAGGACTCTCCTCATCCCTCCCTTTCCAGAGTTTTCCAGGTGAGCTGATGGTGCTTTGCTTCCAGCTGCGTGCACTCTTACCCTCCCCTTTCACCTGGGATGGTCGTGCCTTGGACCCAACAGTGGCAGCAGTGCCCACTCACAAGGATCCCCTCCCCGAGTTATGGGGCCTTGGGTCAGGGCATGGTAGGAGGTCTCTCGAGGGCCGGGCAGGCCTCTGTGATGCACTGTGGAAACATTGCATGGGTACGGCTAGAACATGCAATGCAACTACAATGCACCGCAGCTGCTCGCCAGGAGGTATGATGCCAGCCACAGAGGCGCCCAAGGCAGTCAGTTGGCTTGGGAGGAGGGTATCTGAGGGCGGAGGGGCCCATTCAAAGGCTAGCCTGCAGAGGACTGTGGAGCATGCAAGTTGCCTGGAGCAAATGCAGAGCCCTGGCCTTCTACAGTTCACCTGGGCTTATGGAGAGCTGTAGGACAGCAGGATCTGGGATTCAGAGAGCCAAGGAAAGGTGTAGGTGGAAACATGCTTGCCCCAGGGACCAAAAAGGGGATCCCCCTAGGCCAACAGGCCATATTTTTGGAAAAGGGGGCCGATAGCCTGGCTTTTTTGTCTCTTGGACAGCCCCACAGGCTGGGTAAGCTCAAGGGGAGAGGGAGTGTTTTTACAGACCAGAGAGGCTAGCTAAGCCCCTACTCACGTGGTTAAGGGTGGGGTCAGAGGTGGCCCCACTGACATTGAGGCTGCTCCATAGGTGGCCGCTGGCCCTCTCACAATGACAAAAGGAACTTTGCTGCCCATCTGCTTTTCCAGAGAGTGAGGCATGCATGGCTCTGCAGGCGTGGAAGACAGACTTCACCAGGGGGCTCCTGCAACGGAGACAGGCAGGTGAGAGGTAGGTCAGTGCATGTCACTTGGGTAACAGTTGAGGAGCTTAAGCTAGTGACTGGCATACCCCACACAATAATACGTAGGTCTGTTGGCTGCAAAGTTGCCATAATGGTTCCAGGTAGCCAGCTCCAGATCTGAAACACCAGCCCTAAGTGAGGGCTGGCTCCCCACACTACAGAACTTCCTTCATTTAACACTGGAAGGGATCAGAGGCCCAGGTTCAACTGCAGGACTACTGTTAAGCAGCCACTTAGGGCCGGCCCGTGGCTCACTTGGAAGAGCGTGGGGCTGAAAACACCAAGTCAAGGGTTAAGATCCCCTTACCAGTCATCTTTTTTTTTTTTTTTAAGAAAAAAAGGAAGCCACCTAAGATGGCCATTCAAACGATCTGAAATGATCTGTGCCTCAGTTTCCTTACCGATAAAGTGGCCACAATACCGCTTGCTATTACCTATGGTGATATAAAGTGGTTGTCCTGTTATGTGTTCTCTAAGGGATCATTCTCCCAGAAGTCTGATGTTAAACTTTCTGGAGAAACTTAGCTTCTTTTCATACAGCAGACTGTGGAGAGGTTGGGGAGGAGTGGTTGGGGGAGAGTTCCCTAACGTCATTGTCCCTCAAGAGCAAAGGGACCCAGGAGTAACTGCATCCGGTGGTGGTGGTTGTGGGGAGGATGCCTGCTATGGCGTCTTAGCTGTCTGCTGCTGCAGCTCTGCTGCTTAGAAGTGAGGTGACTTCAGCCAACTTACCTGCTGAGCCTCACTTTGCTCAGGTCAGCTGGCTGGGGCACACATACATATGGGTGGAGTGCTATTTCAAGGCTGGCGTAGGGTGGGTGCTTACTGGTCAGGGCTACTTAAAAGAAATTGGGGTGTAGGACCTACTTTAGGAAACAAAGGGCTTCAAACCTGCTCACACACACTTTTCTTAGCTTCCTCCTTTGCTCCTGGCTAAGCATCTGCTTGACAGGAAATGTCACAGCTTTGGCTGTAAGGATGAGACCTCCTGGGGCCTCTCTGACTGGGAGCACTTCATGATTTCTCTCACGAACACCCAGACTCAACAATGCATCAAGAAGGCAGGACTGCCCACCGCTAAGGGCCAAATGCCCTCAAGACACAGACATGAGTCTCCAAAGAAGAATGTCAAAAGCTCTCTGGTTATGCCTTGTACTAAAGGCCCTTTTAGTTATAGGAGACAGTTGACAGGGCTAATGGTGGGGTGGTTGGTGGCTGAAAGGAAACTGTATAAAATGTTGGCATACAGGAGCAGGATCCTCCAGCCCACACAAACTTCAGAGGAAACACTGGCTTCCCTGTGTTGGCTGTGAGCCACCAGTACACTGCAAGGAGCCACACTGCTCTCTGTCTCCTTTTTAGCTTGTGGCACCAAGGAGGCTGTGGGGGTGAAGCCCTGGAAGCAGCACTGACAGCTACTGGGACGACTGTCATGCTGTGCAGAGCACCACACTCACACAGAGGGACGTGCTGGCCCAGCTTGGGTTCTCTGTGGTGTCCTCTTTCCCCTTCTCTAGCCTCCCATCTGTCACGCAGTCCCAACCCTTCATCCCAACATGGCCACCCAGACCTGCTCCCTCCCACTAACCCAAACAAGATTCCCCTGAAGAGAAGCAGATGAGTGGCCTTGAAGGCTTACGTACTCGGTCACTTCCAGGGCCTTGGGGACACGCTCTACTTCGGTAAAATGAGAGCGCACAGCCACATCATCTCCCTGGAGCCAGCTGATGGCCATAGTGATTGCGGACGTCCACCACCGACAGATGACATCTGGACCTAGAGGGAAACAGCACCAAACACACTCCAGCACCCACAGAAACCAGATCTGTGGCGCTCAGCGGCTGGCTGTATCCTGTTCCTATATGGTATGTGGCAGCTGTACCTTCTGGTGATGGGCCAGGGGCCTCTGGGTTGCCCTCTCATACGATTCTGGTGGGAGCATTAACCAGCACAATCTTTTGGAAAGTGTTCAGCAATATGTATCAACAGTTCATTCCTATTAACCTAGTGATCCCACGTCTGGCAATCTATCACAACAAAATGGGCTTAAACAGAGAAAAAAAAATCTAACAAAGATGTTCACTGTAGTGTTTTTTCTCTTTTAGCCGCTGGCTGGAACAGGGATCTGAACCTGTGACCTTGGTGTTATAAGGCTGTGCTCTAACCAACTGAGCTAAGACTAGTGTTATTTTTAAATAAAAAGTTGGACACAACCTAAACTTTCAGTAGCCATGAAGAATGGTATCTTCAAAGTATCTGTAGTAACAGTCTTAATGTTAGAATATTTTAAGTCTTTTCCTTCCTGAGCCTCTGTTTTCTCTACTGCAAAATTATGCTAGTGATCTCACAAAGCCAGTGGGGATGGTCATGCAAGATAAAAGGTGTAAGAGCATGTGCTTTCCTAATGATGCGATGGCTGTTGTTCTGGGATCCTTCCCTCCCTATGGATAGTAGCCAGAAGGTAGCTTGGCACCCCAATCTTCTCCAGTGGCCTCAGAAGCCTGGGAGGTGGCAGCTAATGTGCTATCACCCTGATGGCAGTTTAGGGATAGAAGCAAAGAATGTCCTGGTATTAATCCAGTCAGTGGGTTGCACTATGATACCCAAGGCAATGGGGAGCCGAAGGGTGGTACAGACACCCACATGAAATGTCTCTTCAGCAGAGAATGTAAGACTTGAGAGCAGCCTCAAGGGGCCACTGAGCATCTGAAAGGTGAGTCACCACCAGCCTGCAGTGCCTGCACTGCTGGTTGCCTATTCTTCTGGGCATTTGGAAAGAGTTCTGACGTGGCCCACCCAGCCAGAGCCTGAGGAAGACATTCACTTACTCACTCTCCCACTTCTATAAGAACCACTATTTCCTGACCCCAGAATACCGGACTCCAGAGAAGATACTTAAGCAGACACTCATAACTAACCATGGACCCTGAGACAAAACGGTTGTGAAGGACTGAATTAAGCAATCCCGGAGACTATGGAGCTGCCCTGCACTTACTTACCAAGGGCTGACTTGAGCACAGAGCTGCTGGAGAATGGTGGGGTCACAATCCCCACAGAGTCCACAAAAGAATGAAGTAATTTCAGGTACTTCAGAGCACTGGAGAATTCACTAGAAAGAAAAGAAAGGGTCCTGTGTATATCAAAATGTGCATGAAGACCACACTCATGGCTTGGCTGTTCAGCTCTTCTGCTCTAAGACCCACCAGCCACTACTGGCCCCTCCTTCCCCATCATCCCAGGCACCCCATTCACACATTCCACAGGCCTTCCTTCCTGTTCTGACTCCTCCCCACAAGGCCCAATTCCAGTGTCATCTCCCAGAAGTTTTCTCACTTCCCCCAGGCAGAACCGCCCCCTGCCTCCCTGCTCAGATGCACTGTCGTCAGAACCTGGGCCTTGTACGAGAGTGACTTTGGTACCTGTCTGCCTCAGTGAAGAACAGACAGTGCTCAATAACTGAGTAAGAACTCAAGATTGCTCGGAACACTCAGTGAGGGGCTGGGGTCCCCAAGATATCCAGACCGAAGTGTCTGCCTTCTGCTGAGCTCTCCACATTCCATTCCTGTCCTCTCTCCACAGGCCACTGTCCCCTACCCCAAAATGCAAAGCAAACTAATAAAATTTCTGACTTGCTCCAAGTACTGACTTTGCTTGATGGAAGGATGGGGAAAAAGAGAAAGTACTTGGTTTAGGAAAAAAGTCAAGGCCAGAGCTTACAAAGAGCTCTCATTTTTGAGAAATAAATACAAAGGAATCATTCCATTTCCTGGCTGACCTGACACTAGGGCTTGTTTCCCTCTAGGACTGCAGGGCTTAAGGCCTCCCTTAAGCTGCCTGGACAGACAGGGCCCCGAGGCAGGGTGGTCAGCCTGGGGACTTTACCAGCTCTCTTCTTCCTGGTCTCCAGTCTTCTTCTTGGCCTGAGGTTTCACCAAGGCCTCCACAGCTCGCTCCAGCAAGTTCTTGCAGAAGGCCTGGTGGACTTGGGCAATAGGGTCAGCTGAAGAAGAGAAAGGCAAGAGGAATAAATGGGTCTTATTTATGAGCACATTTTGTCTTTACAGAGAAAACAGAGGATGGGAGAGGAACCCATGAAACAGCTATGCCCTGTGAATGGGGATCAAATCTCCCTTTGCCCAGCACTACCCTGCTAAACAGACTGAAGAGCCCAAGACTATGTGCAGTTCTGGATTAGTTCCTGTGTGTGTGTGTGTCTCTTGGCTCAGTGGTACTTCCAGGTTGGGAGCTGTAAAGTGGTGGCCACAAGCCTTGTCAGAAAACAGAAAATGGAAAGGTGGACAGCTACTCCAAGCCTTTGGGGCTGTCTGTTCTCTTTGTGGCTCAGGAGAACAGTCACCCAAGGAGGAAAGGCAGCAAATGCTGCCATACTCATGACAATGAAGACCCTACTGCTCTATATTTCCAGAGCTTCATCATGGAACCCATGATCAGCAATGATCTGGCTGAGGTGATTAGACAAGGGCCTTGCAATGTGTGTGACAACTGTCACTGAAAAATCCCCTTACTGACAGGTCCAAATAATGGCGTCAGCAGCCCCTTTCCTCCCCTTTCCTACCCGGTGGGCCTTGATCTGACATGGACGAGAAGTAGGACAGACATTTATAAAGACAATATGAGCAATGAGACCTAGAATCAGAGACTGCAAGAGGTGACAAAGCCAGTGGGAAGTCTATGTTGTAGACAAAGCAGTCAGTGGGGGTGGGGTTGAAAGACTACGGATTTTGCTTTTGCTTTCATCCTTCACTTTTTGGTGTTGCACAGAATTATATTGAGCCATAAAGTTATTATTTAACTAAAAAAAAAAAAAAGGATAGCAGACCCCCCCACCCCAAGTCTGACATATACCCCTTTACCTGCAGAACATGCCTTGCTCTCCTCCCAGCAGAAAGCAGAAAGCCACTGAGTTCTCAAGGTCTGAGTCAACCCAGACCAGCCTCTACCGCTCAAGGCCAGGCAAGTCGACTCTAATCACTATCAAATGCCAGGGACAAAAAGCTGGCATCTCCTTCCGATGCCTGGAGTCCCGTCCCTGTCACCACTCTGAGCACTTGACAACCGCCTGCCGCCTATTGTTCCCTAACTGCTCCATATATGTCTGTCTGCCTTCTCAATGGGACTAGTAGACCCAGAGGCCAGGGAACAGCAAGCCCCACACTTTCTCTGTCTCCAAAGTACCCATAACAAGGCCTAAGAAGACAGTTGGTACTTAATCACAATTTACTAATGTGTGGCATTATGATATAAATACTATGGGCTTTGACTATCAGAGACAGCAGAGCACAGAGGGCAAAGCCGAACCCAGCCTAGCCTCCAACAGGCTCTGACCAGTCTTGTGCCCTTAGGCGAGTTACTTAAACTCCCTGAGCCTCAGTTAAAAAAAAAAAAAAAGGATTAAACAAGACAACCTGGGTCTCCACATGTCTGGTGCACAGTAACCCTGCAGTACTGGTGGCTCTCATGGCTTTCTCCAATTCTGAATGGCTGTAAAGGTGTTCTCACCTGGGTTCCTCTGGGCACAGTACAGACTCTCCTTGGCAGCCGACTTCACCGACCAGCTCCTCTCCATGAAAAACTTCTGGCCCAGAGGGTGGCAGAGCCAGCGCAAGGAGTCAGGGACAGCGCTACGCTCAGGGCAGCACAGGCTCTGAGCTCGACTGAGGAAGTAGCTCTGTGGAAGGACAAGGACCAGGGGTGATGCGAAGGTGGGAGAATGCTGACACTAGCCACTGGGGGATACTGGGGAAAGGATAGAAGTGGAGGGCTAAGACCCTCACAAGCACCTGAAAGTAAAGCCCACCACTGAAAACTAGAACAGGTGGCTCCAGTGGAGTCTGTCAATCTTGGTAATCAGGCCCAGATCCCAGCAGGAGGGCAGGGAGTGGCCACAAGGCACACAGGCTCCCGCTGCATCCTGTCCTGCTGGGTCTGCCTAACCTTATTGGAATCTAGTTCTCACCCTGCTGGCATTCAACCTGCAGGATAGGATGAGGGGTGGCTTTCCAAAGAGGAGTCTCCGAGGCCCCCTGGCTGCACTTCACCTCAGCCCTATGAGTGCTGCTGCATCCAAGCCACACAGCCCCCTTGATCCTGGGACACTTTCCACATCTGTCATTTCAATTACATATCTTTTAGAGTATTTTTAGGCAACACTATATTGTGCTTTGACTAATTTTTCATCTCTTTTACCTTTGAGTATAAAAGTTTAGAACAGTGCTTGGCACACAGCCAGTAGTCAGTATCACATCAGACATACCAGGAGCAAAGGGGCACTTGGGAGGACTGCCCAGGACCCATGCAGGCATGTGTGTCTGTGTGCATGTGTGTAGGAGATGCCCTTCCCACAGAGCTGGCCCTGAAAGGGCAGTTCCCTACAGAAACCCCCACTCCACCCCTGACATGAACAGCAGCCTGTGAGAAAAGACCAAATGGGGGCCTATAAAAGCCTCTTTGCTGGGCAATTCAAAGATCCAGTGCCCCAGTGTTTGGGTCCCTCCTCCTCCTGCCAGGATAACATCATTCCAGGGCCTCAGTGATAAGAACTGCAGGGACAATGCTGTCTATCATGTTTTCTGAAGTTCTGTCACTTTTCAAGTGAAAATATCTTTCCTCTAAAACCCATGATTTCCAACCCATAAAACTACTTGATACAGGCCAAGCTGAGTAAGAAGCTGAGCAGAGAAGGACAGGAGGGAGGGAGAGGCACAAGACACTGAGAGCTCAGGGAGCTCAGAGGAGGGGACCTCAACCTTCACACTTTAGCCCTTGCCTCCACAATGAGGGTATCTGTGTTACAGTCTGGTTCAGTCTGATAGTTCTGACCTTTACTGGGCTCTCAGTAGCCATCAGCTAATGTAACAGATTCAGTAGACTTGAATGCAAGGGTCAGAAATAGCACTGCCAAAGCACCACTCAAAGACACAGACAGACAAGACTGTCTCTCTCCAGGGGAACCTGGGGACAGCTGCTTGAATCCAAGAGAAACAACCTGGCCAAACTGCTCCGCAGACAACACGGTTATTCTCATAGCAACCATAGGATGGGGACAGTGGCACTAACGGTCTTTGCTAACCAGCTTGGAGAAAAGGATAGCAGAGAGCAAATGCAGAGGAGGCCCATGACCTTCTGTCTGCCCTCCGCATAGTACTCGCTGCATCTGGGCTGGGAACTGCAGCTGTGGAGAGCCGCAGCCAAGAAGCTGAGCAGTGATGGAGGCTGGGTGGAGGTGGGTGGGGGGCAATTCCAGAGCCTCTTGAATCCCAGACCTTTTAATAGTTGGCACCAACTCTCTTCCAAGAACAGCCTACTCCACATGCCTGATCAGCAAGGGAGGATGGTGGTTGCTCCAGGGGAAACTGAGGACAAACTGGTGACTCAGAAAGGCCCAGGTGTTACAAATAGAAGCAGAAATAAAGCCTGGTCAGGTCATATGGCAAGAGAAACCTACAGAGGCCATTTAGGAAATCATTAAGTTAAAATTCCTTTTAAGCTTAATTCTTAAAAAGAAAGGAAAAAATTTAGTTATAACAAATCTAGGGGAGGAGAGCGGGGTTGGGGCTTGAGTTTAGTGGTTTGAACTAATTAGAAATATAAATCTTGGGATACAATCATCCACAGTATGGCTTCTGTAAGGGAAATTAAGAAAATAACTTTTGTTGCTCTTTTAATTTCTTGGCTAAATTATAGCCCTATAATTTTCCTAAAAAAATTTTTTAATTTCCTGAATTTTATAGACACTAGAATTCTCTCAAGCTGGGGCCTAGGAGCCCCTCCCCTATCACTCAACTGCTAACTGCCTGATGTGAGAGAGGCTATGGAAGGAGCCCAGAACTGTTTACGTCCTGAGAGCCACCCAGTACCCCTGGGCCAGTCCCAACTCCAGGTTGTGTCCTCCCAATACTGGTCTAACCCTACACTTCTCAAATTGTATGCCAATGTACTCCAAAGCACCAAAACGAGCACTCAGGGGAGGCACAGGATATTTTAGATTTTTGAGAGAAACAGCAATGTACAACATCAGTTGGACACCCTGTAAACTACTAGATCAAGGCAGTTAACAGTCTCAACATGAGATTACACTACCTTCCTTTGGATGATGTAATTAATATATTTGTGAAGCCGAGTTTTGGGAGGCTGTTGTGATAAAAAGCAAAGATTTGTTGTGTGCAAATCACTGTGGAACATAAAATGTGGGTGGTGGTGTCCAATCTAATGCCAAAGCTTGAGAAGGTGTACAGTGCTCAGTAGGCACACACATTCCATTAGTAAGTAATCATGGTTATTAAGAATAAAAAATATTGGGCCGGCCCAGTGGCGCACTCGGTAGAGTGCTGCGCTTGGGAGCACGGTGGCGCTCCCGCCGAGGGTTCGGATCCCATATAGAGACCGGTCTGCTCACTGGTTGAGCGCGGTGTGGGCGCGACACCGAGGGTTGCAATCCCGTTGCCTGTCACGGTACGGGCGCGACACCGAGGGTTGCAATCCCGTTACTGGTCACGAAAAAAGACAAAAGGAAAAAAAATAATAATAATAATAAAAAATATTTTTTCTTTCAATTTCATGTATGAGTTTTTCAAATGGATCATAAGCTGTTAAAACACAAATACCTCCTAGGATGTTCAAAACTAACTACATAATAAACAGAACTCTTAGATATTTTTTTTGGCCTGGGGCGCCATGAAAATGAGATACAGAGTGCCAGACAGTTTGGGAACCTCTGGTCTAAACCATTTTCACAGAGGCCTGTCCTCCACTTGCCCCTAATGCCTGGCTCATTTGCTAGCTAAATATATCTCACTAAATTCAAAGCTTCTTCCTTTTTAAGAAAGTACTGTCTGTGTTTCTTAATCTATCCCCTCCCAAGAGAAGTAAACAGAAAGGGGCAGTTAATTTATACACCACAGTTCTCCTTTCCCCACCTATTATGCAAATTTTTCAATACTATTAAAGTTTTGGGCCGGCCCATGGCTCACTTGGCAGAGTATGGTGCTGATACCACTAAGGCCATGGGTTCGGATCCCTATATAGGGATGGCCGGTTAGCTCACCTGGGAGAGTGTGGTGCTGACAACACCAAGTCAAGGGTTAAGATCCCCTTAACAGTCATCTTTAAAAAAAAAAAATTAAATTAAATAAATAAAGTTTCAAATATTTATATCCTTTGATCCCTGCATCACCATCTCTAGATGCACAAAGATGCTCTCTATAGCACTGTTTGTAACAGCAAATAAACAGGAAACAACCCAAATGTCCATCAGCAGCACCAAGGACCTCTGCAGAATAAAGACACTATAAAGAAAGATGTCTAAGATTTATCATTAGGTTGAAAAAATCAAATGGGAAAACAGAGTTTACAGTAATAATCACATTAAATAACTTATCATGTATAATGTGATTAATGTAATAATCACATTAAATAAAATATCATGTTAGTATGTGCAGGAAAAAAAATTCTGAGGAAATATACAGTAAACCATTCACTGCTTGTTAGGCATACCAAATATTTTCTGCAGGGCAGGGGGGCTCATGGTCAGGAACAATTTTAAGGGAACCATTTTCCTAATCCTTAGCTGCCACACACCTGCACATTCTTCACACATTCTTCAAATGGGCTTTCCGAGTCCCTTTTAAAGAACAACTGCATCTTAGCAGTAAAGACAATTGAAACCTCAGTGGGGTTTTGGGATGGTGAGATGATTCCAAAATTCATATAGGAAGGTAAAGAGCAAAAAATAGTCACTGAAACTAGAGATTGACACTTCTAGATATCAAGATATTTTACAAAACTCAGACATTAGGCTTGTGTGGTGGTGGTACAATAGAACAGACTGGAGTCTGGAAGCAGACTCACCAGATATGAACAACTGACTTATGAAAAAAGGTGCCATTCAGTGTAGTGCGGGAAGGACAATTTTTTTTACTAACAGGTTTTGCGTCAGGTAGATATCCATATGGAAAAAAAATTGAATCTTGTACCCCTACCGCCAACTCATACAAAAATCAATTCCAGGTGGATTAGGGACCTATGTATGAAGAATAAAAAATAAAACTTCTAGCAGACAACATAAAAGGTTTGTAGAAGCGAACTGAAGGGTACTCACAGCCAGGAAGCCCAGCTTGCCTCCACATCGGGTCTTGAGTCCCATGGCAGCAGTCAGGTGAATCTCAACCAGAGTGCTAGGCGGGATTTTCTCCTCTGCACATTCAGCCAGGTTCACAGCACATAAAGCCATGTGTAGATCTGAACAGGAAGATCCTGCAGGAAGCTTTCCTAGGGCAAACAGAGAGACACTAATGTTGACAGATCCCCCAAACCAAACTTTTCTCGGCTTTCCCTAGCACAAATCAGAGTAGCAGTGGGACCAGAGGATAACGGAGGTGAGCTTTGTGATCAGACAGGCCTGGATGGGATGCCAGGTTCTGTGACTTGTTAGCTATGTGCTCCTGTCTACCTCGCAGGGTGGCTTGAGGACATGGCAGCTGGCTCTGTTTAATGGGAGCTGTCATGACGGCAGGTTGTTGCACAGGACTCAGAGGTGCATAGTGCAACATTTTCCATAACTGTCAATAGCATGGCTGTATTCTGCTAATACAGTCCTGTGTTTCCAAACATTTCAATAAAGCTAATACATTTTAAAAAACAAACTGTTTTGACTTTATTTTCATTAACCCCCTTCACCCCCGCCTCGCCCCCAATATATAAGCACACATCTCTTTGAGGGGGTAATAACATAAAACTGAGCAATGATAGCTGGATACATGTTGGGATAGTAGATAGAAGGCCAGGAAAGGCTTACTACACCTCCCTACGAGAGCTGCACAGCAGCTAATCCAGGTGAGACCCTGAAGTCAGGGAACAAAGTGCCCTGGCACAAGCCCAAGGGCCCATCATGGCTCTCCTGAGGCTTTCACACTGTCACTTACTTTGGTCCTCACTACAAGGGGTGAGAGGCAGCAAGCGCAAGTAGTCTCAACACCTCAGGGTGGTCACGGTAAGTGCCAAGGTCCAGGTGGTGGCAAAGCCAGGCCTCCCACCCTCACTCAATCTTGTGTTGTTCCCACTGGGCCACCCTGCCTCCCCTGGTCTCAGTCCCTATACTTCATTCTGTATTGGTTTAAGGTATCTGTCTCCCCAGGAGGCACCAAGCTTTCTCTTTCAGGGGGATGAAGGGCAGAGAGCAGTGTGGGAACCACATTATAGTCACCTCTGTCCCCTTGTTGCCTCACACAGGCTCTGGCTCACAGAGTGCTCAGTGAATGTGGAGGAAGAGAGAGACGTGAAGCTTCCCAGCTAGAATTCTCCAGAACTTGACAGCTAGGAGGATGCTGCCTCCTGATCAGATACCTGGGTATGGGGCTCATTCTGTCTCTAGGAGCAGAGAAGAAAAAAAGCGGGAAAGATTTGCAGATAGGGACCTTCTGCTATAACTCCACCATGACTCAGGTGTTAAAACTGCACAACTGGCCCTACTTTCTCATCTCCCAGCCACAGATTCACTCCTAGTGCCTAGTTCTGCTCCACTTCTGGCTGAAGCTGCCTGCAGCCACCAGGCCATTTCCAACACCTTCTTGTTACCACATCCTGTGTTACTTTCTGGCCCTCATTTTATTGGACATCCCAGCAGCAACCTCCTCTCCTCAACCCTCTCTGTCCTGGCTCCTCCAACATCAAGCCTCTTGCATTCTCCTCTGTCCTCTTGAACTGCCCCTGTCAGGCAGCCTCTGCCCCTAACTGCCCGTCCTCCACCTGTCCTTTATATGAGGGTGTTCTTTCAGATGTCCCTGAGGGTCCCCTTTTCATTACACACCCTCTCATCAGCTCCCTCGGTTTTCACTTTCATCTCTAGGCACAAGAGCCCAATTCTCTTCTCTGGGCTGTGTATCCTGCATGTCCAGCTGCCTGGAGTATTTCCCCTCCACGCCTCACAGGCAAGTATCCAAAACAGAACTTGTCACCTTTTCCCTGCAAAATTGTTCTTCCTCCTGTTTTCTTCACCTTTATTGGTGACACCACTGTTCACCCTAACTCCCAAGCAAGAAACCAGGAAACTATCTTAGCCATCTCCTTCCCTTACCCATCACATCCAATGACCCCAAATGTCTAGTAACTTTCACCTTCTAATCTTCTCTCCATCTACCTTTTCAGCATCTCTCACCTTCAGTTTGCATCAGATCTTATTTGGCCTCCCTGACTCTAGCCTTAATACTCTCAAATCCATTTTCTATCTGCTACCAAAGTGAATTTTCTAAACTTTAGAAGCACAAACCTGATCACATTATTATTTTCTTAATGCCCTTCACTGAATCCTATCACAAGACCCCCAGCCTGACATCCAGATCGTGCATGAGCCAGGCACCCCCCATCCCCTCATGCTCTGTCTCCCATCACCCTCTCCTTGCACAGCTCATTCTAGGACTACAGAAGTATCATTCTCTGAGCCAGGCACCCCCCATCCCCTCATGCTCTGTCTCCCATCACCCTCTCCTTGCACAGCTCGTTCTAGGACTACAGAAGTATCATTCTCGGGGCTGGCCCGGTGGTGCACTGGATAGTGCGCCGCTTGGGAAGCGCGGCAGCGCTCCCGCCCAAGGGTTCGGATCCCACATACGGACCGGTTCCTGCTCACTGGCTGAGCGAGGCGCGGGAGCAATGCCGAGGGTTGCGATCCCGTTGCCGGTCCCCGGTCCGGTGCGGGGGCAACACTGAGGGTTGCGATCCGTTGCCGGACACGGAAAAAGACAAAAGACAAAAGACAAAAAAAAAAAAGAAGTATCATTCTCAAGAGCCACCCCAAGTGGGGCTCCTCCTTTGGAACATTCCTCTGCCTAGAAGGGACATCTCCTTCTGAAGAGTTGGTGACATCTACCCATCCTTCCATGCAAAAGCCAAGATTTAGCCTTCCCAGAAAGCCTTTCTTGGAACCTCACCCAACAAGTACCCACTCCTTCCCAAAAGAAATATGCTTCTTCTGCTGAGTCTAACACACTCACACTGAATTGTCAATCATTTGCTGATATATCTGCCTCTCTATTACATCAGGTGTTTACTGAATGGAATAAATGATCTTATTTCATTGAATCAAAGATGCCATACCTATTAAATCTCACCATTAATTTATCACTAAGGAAAAAACACTGCCAACTAATCCATGATACGCCACTGTTTACAGGATTCATCCCAAGTGTAAAGACGAGTGAAAAATGTGCATCTTAGAATTAATGAACTGTAGTTAACAAGCCATTTCTACAGCTATGGATGCAGGTGAAAATTTGGTTTAACCACTCTAAAAGAACATTGTAGGGGTTGGCCACTTAGCTCACTTAGTAGAGCATGGTGCTTATAACACTAAGGTCAACGGTTTGGATCCCCATACTGGCCAGCTGCCAAAAAAATAAATAAAAGAGCAGTGTAAAAGGGGCTTCAACTAGGGTAGAGAACTGGCAAACCAAGCTAAGGAAGATAGGTGGCATGGGACACCTCGCAGCAGAAGCCAGGCAGCAGCAGCTCCTCCTCACCTGTGATGTGCAGCTGATGCAGCCTATGATAGGCCAGGGCCGCATCCCGGGCACTGGTCTTAGCTTCATCCTCAAAGCCCCCTGCAGTGGCTGGGGTGGCCTGCCGGTGCTGGAAGACTTTCTTGAGGAGCCAGCGCACCAGGCGCAGCTTCTGCAGGCTGTAGCGGATCACATTCCAGGAGAGGCTGCAGGCCAGGTCCAGTCGGGAGGTGGGCAGTGCCCGACCCAAAACTGACAGACAGGTTTGTAGATTGGCAGCAGCAGCTGTAAAATCCCCCTACAAAGCAGCAAGAAGGTATAATGGTGACAGGTTTGCTGCAGCCCCTTTGTTTTAAAGACTTCTACTCTTTCCCATCCCATTATCAGAGTAATACACGTTCACTAAAGAAAATCTGGGAAACTCAGAAAGCTACAAAAAAGTAAAAAGAAAACACTTGTAATCTCAACCCCCAGAAAAAATCATTGCTGACATTTTGAGGCATTTCCTCCCAGACTTTACTGAATTGGGATTGTACTGCATTCTATCTTTGAGCAAACGCCGGTCAGAGATCCCTATAGTAGCTTTTATACATGAGACAATAACACATTTAGATGAACTGCCTGATCCTTTAGGCTTTTAGGTTCTCAAAGTGTGGTCCCCAGAGGCCAGTAGTATATCAGCTCCTGAGAGCTTATTAGAAATGCCAACACTTGGGCCAGCCCGTAGCTCACTCGGGAGAGTGCGGTGCTGCTAACACCAAGGCCGTGGGTTTGGATGCTATATAGGGCTGGACGGTTCGCTCACTGGCTGAGCGTGGTGCTGATAACACCAAGCCAAGGGTTAAGATCCCCTTACTGGTCATCTTTAAAAAAAAAAAAGAAAGAAAGAAAGAAATGCCAACACTTGTCCTTCTGCCATCTTTCTGCACCACCATAATGGTGCGCATGAATGTCCTGGCTGATGCTCTCAAGCATATCAACAATGCCCAAAAGAGAGGCAAGCGCCAGGTTCTTATCACACCGTGCTCCTAAGTCACTGTCCAGTTTCTAACTGTGATGATGAAGCATGGTTACATTGGCGAATTTAAGTCACTGAGGATCACAGAACTGGGAAATTATTTTGAAACTCACAGGCAGATTAAACAAGTGTGGGGTGATCAGCCCCAGATTTGATGTACAACTCAAAGATCTAGAAAAATGGCAGAATAATCTGCTCCTGTCCCATCAGGTCAGTTTCACTGTACTGACAATTCAGCGGGCATCACAGACAAAAAAGAAGCAAGAGAAAAATACACAGGAGGAAAAATCCTGGGATTCTTTTTCTAAGAATTTGATACATATGTACAAATAAAATGCCTCAATGGAAAAAAAAAAAAGAAATGCAAACACTTGGGCCCCACCCCAGACCTACTAAAACAAAAGCTCTGGGGTTGGAGCCTCCAGTTGATTTTCATGCCTGCTAAAGTTTCAGAACTATGGTTTTGGGCAAACTCACAGCTCAACTACATTAACCTATGCTCCAGAACTACTCTATAAGACACAAACCTGAACCTTCCTCAAGACAAACATCTTGGGATGCTACTCTCTGGGGACAGACCTCCCCAAATCACACCTATATTCTAGGACCAATGGCCTTGGCCATGGCTGACAGATCCAGGCTGGCCAGTGAGATTCTCGATCACCAGCACTGCAGCTTGCAGAGGACCGGAGAGGAGGCTCATGGTTTACTGCTGTTGAGGAGTGTTCTGGTTCTTGTTCCTCCGAGACGTGGATGTTTAACTCCTCCTTCAATGCTGTGAGTTGCCACAGAATCTTTTCCATAAACTCCTTTTTGCTGATTTCAAATGAGATCTTTCAGCTAATTTTACTGCTTGAAAACCTTGATTCTCCAGAAAAATGGGAATAAACCCCAAATCAGTTACTAATTAAAGCCCTCTCCAACTTGAACCTAACCACACTACCAACTTTCACCCTCATCTCTGACACACCCACAGAACTTGCCAGTTTCTAAATAGCATGTCTAGTGCTCACTTTTGCAGCACATATACTAAAATTCTAAATAGCCTGTCTATTCGTGACATTCTGATGGCTTGGAAGGTCCTTCTGCCATGCCTGCCCTTGATAGCCCTGCTCAAGCCCTGAATCCCCTCAGTCAGAACTCATCTCTTCTGTCCCAAACTCCCACAGCATTTTATTCTTCCTCTGTCATACCACAGAGGATAGATCATCTCATCTCCATGGAATTATCTACACACAGGTGCCCTCTCTTCTGTTGCCCTGTGATTCTTCAGGAGCAGGATCCCTTCCTCCTCTCAGTCACTGCAAGCATGTACCACAGGACTTTATCCAAATTAGGGATTCAACACATGTTGCTGAGTTATTGGCCAAGCTTGGGGGAGGAAGGAGAAAAGCAGATAGCAGAACTCACCCTGGCAAGGTCCAGGTCTGCCTGCTTCCGGTGCCTCCAGAAAGTGACTGAAGACCGCGAGTGTGGCCGGATCACTGGCTCCCCGTGGACCAGCAGCTTCACAAAGACACTCAGGACAATCACACCATTTACCAGCCATAAGAGAAGAGTTGGCATCATCCAGTCAAACCAACCCCCAGAACCTAAAGAAGAACATCTCAGCTGAGCCCATCAGGAAGGGCCTCATTGAGTAGCCATGTACCTATTTACCAGCCATAAGAGAAGAGTTGGCATCATCCAGTCAAACCAACCCCCAGAACCTAAAGAGGAACATCTCAGCTGAGCCCATCAGGAAGGGCCTCATTGAGTAGCCATGTACCTGACTGACTCTTCCCAGCAGAGTGACATAAATGACACTTATGTCCCATTTTCAGAAAAAAGGGGCAGATAATTCTACAGCCTAAATAGGAATCCTATAGCCCTTGTCCCTATGGAGCTGAGTGCCACAAAAATCTTTGTTAGCCAAAAAGGGTTAGGACACTGATTTCATAAGTCAGGTAAAAAAAAAAAAAAAAAAAAAACACATCCTCCTCCAAATAGGTTCCATACCCTTACTCCCCCACTCCCACTTCAAGATAGTTATAGCAGTGCAGCTTTCTGATTTATTTTGCTCTTTGACTTAACTTGAGCTTGGCTTGTTCCAAAATGTGAATTATGCCAGTCCCTATGAGAAGCAAGCAGGTAAGGGCCCTCTAACAAAAGCCTTTTGGGACCTAGTAGATAAGAAGTAGTTTGTACAAAGGATCCTTCTTCTGCCACAGCAGTCCACCCATCCCAGATGGCACAAGGGGCCCTCCACCTACCTGACTCAAATGACAGTACACTGCGGCCAGAGCCTGAGTATGAGTGCTGGTCAGAGTCGGCCCCTCCCCATTGCAGCAGGGAAGTCAGGGGGTTAAAGGAGAGACACAGGAAGGTGAGGACACACAGCAGAATTCGAGAGCGGTCCACCATGCCCAGCGCTACAGGAGGAGAGTCCGGTTCATCTTTGACCTTCAAAATAGGGTCTCAAGGTTGGAATGAATACTGTGTGGGTTTTTATAGCATTTTAATTTTATATATCGGAAAATAGATTGTGAGGTTTAAATTCAAGACCATTAAGTCAGACAGGAATGAAGCAAGGAGGGAGCTAAGAAGCCCACAATTCACAAACTGCTGCTAAAACACTGGAGCATTCTCCTTCCTGTTAAATGAGAAAAGTACATGTTCCAAAGAACAAAGGTAGAAGACATTTTTTTCTTTAGAGCTCTGTCACAAAAGACAGCACACACTATATGATTCTGTTTCTGTATAATTCCAGAACAGGTAAAATGAATCTAAACTGACAGGAAGTTGATAGATCTGTAGTTGTCTGAGCCTGGAGAGGGGTATGTGACCTACCTATAAAGGTGTATGAAGGAGCTTTTTGGTATGATGAAAATGTTGTACATCTTGATTGTAATAATAATTACATAGATGTGTACATTTGTTAAAATTCCTGGTACTACACATTTAAAACAGGTGTATTTTATTGCATTTAAATTATACCTCTATACTTAACCAACTATAAAGTTGATTAAAGACCATACTTTAATGTGGATCTATCTAAAGAAGTCTGCCTGTTCTGAAACTGCAACATCGACCCCCTCGTCCACCATTTTACAGAGGGAGAACTGGAGACAGAAGCCTCACCAGTCCATGGAGCCCACAGGGAGGGAGGGAGGGAGAAAGTCTGGAGCTGAATCTCCCTGAGCTCACATGTGTACATACCAAATGTCTCCTTTTCAATATTTTAAAACCATTTGAAATGATGACTCAGAAGACTAGCTAATTCAATTTATATGTCACGCGGCTTGTTGTTACCAAACAGAATCACATTTATAAAATATTTCAAAAACAGAGCTTCCTTTGTAAAATTAAGTACTGTATATGATATAATAAACAGCCTAATCAAACAAACAAACAAACAAAAAATACTAGAAGGGGACTTTATGCTCTTGGAGTCAGAAACTGCCATTGTCAAAATGTAGTACAGAACCTAGTGGTCTCCACAGGTTTCCAGGAAGATCATTAGGCTCAGAGCCTGCTTTAACTAATTCTATTAAACTACAATTGTCAGGGGCTTTCTTTGACAATTAAAGGCCCTTGGTTGGAATGTTACCTTAGATTGCAAACTGTAATCATTTCCAGAAAGAGGACCCAGAGGCTGCCTTGTCCTAAACCAACCGATCAGACTCGCGAAGTGGTCTTGCAAGGCCCATTACAGGGAGAGGGAATAAGGTGCCTCCAGCAACTCCCAGTGTCTGCCTGACAGTGCTATGTGTTACCGTTCTGGATTTGGCACTCAGTCCTCTCTGATGGGGCCTTTCATCAGCAAGGACCAGTTAAAACTGAAGGACTGTTCCTCAAGCCCCCTCCCCCGCAACTCCAGAGTCTGTTTTCTCTTTATTCCCCAGGACCTGGTTAATTTCACAGGATTTGTTTCTCTCCAGCCTGGGCCTGCTAAGCATCTGGCCTGGCCCCTGGTCTGTGCCCGCCCCCACCCCCACCCCCGACTATTTTCTTAGGAAACATGAGAGAGATTCCAGGAGTCAGGGGACCTCAAAAGCTTGTACCTTTGCATCATCCAACAGAGGGCTTCCAGGCTCATAGTCGATGGAGTAGGGGGAGAAGCCAGCCTGGGACCCTGAGTCAGAAGCTGGGGGGGACATCAGAAGGACATTCTGTTTAAAGTCATCAATCTTCAGGTCCACCTCATTGTCTACCAGACTGCCTAGGTCAATGCCCTTCAGGAGCTCTGAAAAAAAAACCCAACAGGTAAATGATCTGTTTTTACAGAGCCCCACCTGGGCTGGGGCTGGGCCTTATACACGTCTATGGGCCCTCCCTAGTGCCTAGCACAGGGCTTCTTGTACAACCCTTTTCTCAAGGACCACACTTACTGTTTTTCTGATTTGCCAGCTTCAGCACCATGTTCTCCTGGCGCAGTTTGTGATTAACCTGCTGCAGGTATTTGATGTAATCAATGGCCTTCCTCAGAACGCCAGACTTGTGCATCTGGGAAGGAAGATGAGTGCAGACACAGTGAAATTAGTGCAGGTTGCAGAGTGAAGGAAGAAGAGCCCTACAGCTTGTGGGTTGAGAGCATGGCTCTAGGATGGGAGGTGTTGGGTTTATTAGCTATGCTACCCACAGACAGGTTACTCCATATTTCTGAACCTCACTATTCTCCTTAACATGGGGATAATGATAGTATGTGGACCACGGGCTTGTAGTCAGGGCTATATGAGATAATAATACGAGTAAAGAGTTTAGCCCCAAGCCTGACACATAGTTGACACTCAATAAATAAATATTAGCTATTATTCCTACTTCTTATAATAATCTAAGCACCAAAATAAACTTTAAGGCAAATAACAAACAAAAAACCAGAGCATTGTTGGACAGTTATCTTAAGGCATATACTTTTATTTAAGATATATATACTTTCAGATTTGTAGGCTACAAGGAAAATAATAAAATTTTCTTTCAAAATAGGGGTAAACAGATAATAGGTAAAAAATCTTAGGGCCAGCCTGTGGCTTACTCAGGAGAGTGTGGTGCTGATAACACCAAGGCCATGGGTTCGGATCCTATATAGGGATGGCCGGTTTGCTCACTGGCTGAGCGTGGTGCTGACAACACCAAGCCAAGGGTTGAGATCCCCTTACCGGTCATCTTTAAAAAAATATATATATCTTCGACTTGCCAGGAAACATATTCACTGAAACACCAGAAATATTTGGAAAATCAATTTCTTCTATTTGCTAATGGTCAAAGACCCAATCTCCGCTTTTTTTCCCTCTTTCCTAGAAGGTAAAAATATTTCTAGGCACCGCTGAACACAGCTAAAAATATGCCAGCAATGACATCAGCTGACTCCAAAGTGCACATACTCTTTTATCTGGCCACTGGTGAGTGGCAGGTATCTTTCTCTGCCTCTAATGCTGGGGTCCAAATCACTGCAGAGGACATCAAAGAAATTAAAAGTCCCGGTGTGCCACTGCCTTACCAACCCTCACCAGTCCCCTTACATTGGTTAATATTTTATCATCTTGATAAACACCAAGATGCTTTCACAAGATAGAAAGGACCTCTAACTCATTCTTACAATCACCCAGCTTGAGCTTAGCCTGGGACTTCCCTAAACTCCAGCTGCAAAGAGAGGTTAAGGGGAGATGGTGGAGCATGAAACCCTACTTTGCTTGGCACTCACCTTGGCATCAGTCCCCATGACCAAGTCCTTCAACTCAATGATTTTGTCATTGATGGAGGAACGATATCGCTTCTCAATGATATTGTGTGTCGTCCGTCTTTCTCCTTCCTTGGGGGGCTCGAGCTGCTTGACTCCTCCAGGTACCTGCTTAATTGGCACTTTCTCTTGCCCCATCATCACAGGCATTGTGGTCAGAATAGTCCCATTGCTGCCCACGAGGGTCTGGAATAGGCACAGGTACAGGGGCATAATTATCTCTTCGTTAGTGTGTGTAAAGCAACCTCACAACACAAATTTGCTCAACCCTGGCTTTTTGGCATCACCAGGCAACATTTCACACTGTCTGAGACCCTTCCTGGGTTAATTAAATCAGCCCAAAAAAGCCACAGGAGCCACCGTAGCTCAGTAACTACCTCCCTTTCAGAAACACTTTCAATAAATTATACCACGAAAGAATTAATATGGTTAAATATGTTTTAACCTTTGATCTAGGGGTGCCAGAAACAAGTCATGTGATTTCTGCTTTGCTGTCAAACTGTTAACTATCTCTGAACCTGTATACAGTGAACCACACGAACTGGCATCAGAGAAAACTTTCCCCTGGCATATGACACATTTTCCCTCTCAAATGACAATTAAGTCAATTACTCCACTTCTTTATATAATCTGGCCATCAAAGAGCTCAAGGGCAGAATTGATATTCTCAATCAGAGTCATTTTATGAAGTTAATAGGCCAACCATAGAGGTCTCCCCTGCTTTTATTTATCTCTGCTTTCCCCTCTTTTTGTTTCTACTTTTTTTTTTTTGGCAGCTGGCCAGTATGGAAATCGAAACCTTGACTTTAATGTTACAAGGCCACACTATTAACAACTGAGCTAACCTAGGCCAGCCCTACTCTTACTAATTTTAATTTTATTCTCTTTAATAAATGGCCTCACTATCCAAATGGCTAATAAACAAATAAAAAGGCTTAACTTCATTAGTCATCAAGAAATAATTCACACACAATAAACCCCACAGATCTTAAGTTTACAGCTTGATGTATTTTCACATATGTATACGATGTGAGTAACCACCCAGACCAAGATATAGACCATTTGTATTCCCTTAGAAAGTTCCCTCATGCCCCTCCCAGTCAACACTCACCCCCTTCTCCCCCTTGTAATCACTGCTCTGACTTCTATTATATAGCTTAATTTTGCCTCTTTCTGAACTTAATATGAATGGGATTGGCATGAACTCTTTTGTAATAGGCTTCTTTTGCTTAACATACTATTTTTTCCCCCAAAATATCCTAAAGAAACCTGGAACAACGTAATATTTTTGAGGTTCAGCAATTTTTATATTTTACATATCAACAGCTCTTTTTCTTATTTCTGGGCATAGTTTTATTGTACGAATATATCATAACTCGTTGACCTATTTTTTTGTGGATGGACATTTGGATTGTTTCTAGTTCTTGGCTTTTATGAATAAAGCTAGTGTTTCTACATTTTTTTTTTATACAAGATGACCAGTAAGGGAATCTTAACCCTTGACTTGGTGTTGTCAGCACCACACTCTCCCAAGTGAGCCATGGGCTGGCCCCGTGTTTCTACATTTTTTTTTTATACAAGATGACCAGTAAGGGAATCTTAACCCTTGACTTGGTGTTGTCAGCACCACACTCTCCCAAGTGAGCCATGGGCTGGCCCCGTGTTTCTACATTTTAATCACCTTTTACTCTACCAGACTTTCTTGTCACAGGATGCTAAAAGTGGCTGACAGTGTACAACTAAGAGATGGAGTGCCTTCCATGGCCTTCCGCTTGGAGCCCCTCTCTGCCTGGTGGCCCTAGGGTCCTTCAGAAGCCAAACCTCCATCACAGGCTCCTCTGCTGTTCTCTTCTACCCACTTTTAAACCCCAGTACTCCAATGTAATGCACATTGGCAGTACTTCTTCAAGGGGGAAAAAAAAAACTAAAAGAGGGGTGATATTCAGAATTTGACTGACACATTCTACAGAGCTTCCAATACCTACTCAGGGTGTAGAGACTTTAACATCTCTGAGACCTAACACCTCCAAGAAAGAAGGAGCAGGGCAGGGGAGAAGGTAGCTCTTACTGGTACTTGAAGGGCGGCTGTCTGGATAGGGGTGGTGAGGGCCGTGAGAGCTGGGTTCTGGACTGCAGCCATGACAGGGCTGCCTTCTGTCTTTAGTGTGGTCAAAACAAGAGAATCTGTCTTGATGATCTGAGGTTGGACCAGGACCTGGATAGAGAAGAAAGAAAAGAAAAGGGAAGGTAGCATTATTTTTCTATTTTACGTTCATTTCTCACTGCAAAGACAACATAATTTTCATGAAGCTGAGAATAAAAAAATACCAGGAAATCTTCTAGAAGCCATTTCAAAAACTGGCTATATTGTACTGCCTGAATACCGGGTTGAGGAGGAGAAAGACAGAATAGCTAAAGAGGGTTCTGGGTTTTAAGGGTGAAAGGCTAAAAGGCTTCACAGAAGGTAGTGCTGGTGTCCTAGCAGGAGCAGAGCAGGGATAGTGTGGTAGACAGTGGAGGGGAGAGAGGTCTGATGTTAGACAGACTTAAGAAAGCCAGGAACATGGCTGAGAGGCAAAAGAGATAAAACTTGATTTTTTTAAAGATAAATTACTCTGTTAGAAAAAAAAAATACAGTCCATTATGATATATAACATAAAAACATTTTTTTCCGTTTATAAAATACATGCTCCCCCACCAAAAGTAATACACACTCAGCATCCACTGCTGAAAATATGAAAAACAGAAAATTATAAAAAAGAAAATCATCTGAGAAATATGAATTTGGTGCATTTCTGTTTAATACCCATTATACAAATGAGTTAATATACCAGCCTTACTGAGTATATGTGATTGCCAGCGCATATCTACAGATGCAGTCTCAGTCAGTCTCTATGTTCTGCTCACTGGCACATGTGGAGCCCAGGCACTCCGACCACCCCACAAGCTGCTCTGTGTACACTCTGGCTGGTCCTTCTTAGTATGTAGACCACATCTTCAACCAAGAACCAGTCGACAGCCTCAACCAGTACTTCCCTGAATACCTTCCAGCCACCTACCGGGACCTGCTGCACCTGGGGTGCAGCAACCGTCTGCACTGTGGCTGGGGCAAGGGTCTGCAACGTGCCATTGGCTGCTTGTGTCAGCACCCGTTGGGCCTGTACCGTCTGTACCTGCTGCTGGATGGTGACTGGCTGTACCTGGGAAGACGTCACCAGGCTTTGGACTTGAGGCTGAAGGACTTGGGAGTAAAAGAGAAAAAAGTCACATGGATGAGAAATGCATTCTGCCACTGTAGCTGCAGCAAGAACTTGGGGATGGAGTATCACACAATGATTTTAACTCCCCACATGCTGCGGAAGATGTGCACAGCCATTTACAAGCTGGTTTAGATAACAAGAACATTCCATGAGAGCTGCATCAATTTCTGAGGGAATGAGTACAAACTGCTTTATTACTCTGGGTGCTGGAATAGAGGTAAGGGAAACTAACTGGCAAATGACTGCACCCACCAAGGGAGTTAACAGATGTTGAGAATCAACAACTCCCTGAGACCTCACTTTCTCCCATCATTTCTGGATGGGAAGTGTACTTTGGGATGACTATCTGAGCTTTTTCCCTTCACACCCCACCCCCCAACAAATTCTTGAACCCTACTGAAGAACTATCAGATTCTTTGAAGTTCAGAGAAATAGTAACCCCACCCAGGGCTCCCCACAGAGCCAGAGGGAAATTTCATGAAAAGTCACTGGGACATCCCACATCACAGAAAGAACAAGACACCTTCAGTTATTCATTCACTCAACACATATTGAGGGCCCACTATGAGGCCTGTGACTCGGAGATGCAGCACCTGTATTAAAAGCTGCCGTATTCATCTCTGTTGCAAATGCTCAGGAGATGTTTGCTGAAAGAATGGCTCTCAACCTGTGGGTGCTGAGATCTGGCTGTTGCTTAGGCCAAGTTTCAAGCCTAATTTTATTCAAGCCTCTACCTCTAGTTACCAGGACAGCCCTGGTCTACTATGCTTGTTGATTTTTTAATCAAGTATCCTTAAAGCAGGTACAATAGATATTAGGGTATTTGAAGAAGCAGAAATGTGAAATGTTCCTGCACCAGTTCTTATTGCCAGTTACCAGACACTCATTCAGACAGGAGCATATTGATTTATCTGTCATCCCCAAAGAGGATAGAACTATCTACCATGTCTGCAAACTAGCACATAAACTTTGGAACCAACCCATCACTACCATATCAGACTTCTGAATCACCTTGAAAGCTGGTAGCTGCATTCTGGTATATTACAGGCTGCTGGATGATCCTCGTCTGTGGAGCGGTGCTGAATGTTGGGGTGATCATTACTGTCTGTTGCTGCAGCTGAGGTTGAGGTTGAGGCTGGGGCTGGGGGCGGGGCTGAAGAACAGGAGTTGCCCTAGGTGGGGTGGGAACTGTGGTGGGAGGGACCTTGACCTGCAAGGCTGGAGCCTGGGGGGAGGCAGCCGATGGAGAGAAGGTAGGTAACTGGACCTGGCTGAATGACCGCTGCATCGAGGTATCCACAGCTCCGCCACCACTGCTCCTGCCATTGCTGCTGCCACTGCTGCCACTGCTGCCACTACCACCACTGCCAGGGAAGGAGCTACACAGCTGCTCTGAAAACAAGTCAGAGAACTCCTCCACTTGATTGCTGACAAACTGCAGCATTTCTGTGAACAAAGGAAAAGAAGTAATTTTATTGCCATCCAAAATATTAACTTCAAAATTGCTTAAGAAACTGAGGCATGAAAATCCAATGGCTTTCCTAAGACTGTGGCAGAAATGGGTCAGGAAACCTTTATCTCCCTCTCATGTGGGGATCATTTGGGCCATGATGGCTGATGAAGGGTCCCAGACAACAGGACAGGAGTTCGTCTGTTTGATAATCTTTCCTCTCCTCGTCCCCAACTCCAGACCCTTACTACACACTTTCCCAATAGTTTTTATCAGTCCTAATAGGAGCTACCTCTGTACTAGGTGACTGTTGTTTTGTGGAGAGTATTGCAGGTTCCCATTTACAGTTGGAGACAATGAGACAGGAAGTGGGTAATCACTGTGTTAAGGGTTTGGACCACAGCAGCCTTGGGCTGTATGGCCACCTCCCATCTCAGCACTGCTCCCCATGGCACAGGAGATGTGGGTCCAGCTGAAGCCATGCCATATCTTAACTCTAACCCCTTTCCTCCTCACCACAGCTGGGCTCTGGGACTTCTCTCCAAGCTGGGCATGGCTCTGGGCACTGTTGGTGCCCTCAGGAACACTCAGGGACAATGAAATTGATGGCCCCCAAGTAATAGATCTTTAGGGATAGAAAGAATGGAAAGATCATATATGAAATCCAGAACAGGGAAATAACATAACCAAGGTCACACAGCTTGTCAGGGCACAGCCAGGATTAGAACAAGTTCTCTGCCTCCCAGCTTTGTGTTCTTCTACTGTACCACAGCACACTGTCAGGAGGTCAAGGCCTGGACCTGCCCTGGATTTTGCGCTTTACGGAGCCCACTCTGGCCCTCCTTTGGCTGTGCCCCTTCCTTCTGGCAAGGAGTCTATGGGGCCAAAAGATGTGTCCACCTGGAGACCGTGCTCTCCTTTCTAGATCATGTTCCAAGTATCTGGAACCCCTAAACACCCAGTCCTGTTTCCAGGGCCTCTTCCCTGCACCATCCTACCAAAGGCTTACTACAACCCGACTTAATCCATGACTAACAACTCATCTCTCTTGACTCCTTCCTCTTCATAGGGCTGGGTCCCTATTAGTTTCAACTTTGTCCCAAATATTTTCACCTCTACAATTCTCTATGCTGTCCACAAACCTTCCCCTTTCCTCTCTCCAATACATTTCCAAGAAGCTACTGCTTACTCTTGAACTGTGTCCCTCCTCTCCAAAGCCTCAAGGCCACAGGATGCTTCTGATTTGGATGCCAAAACAACAAAAAACCACCACCTCCATCCATCCTGATTGCTTTTGCGTGCGTGTGTGTGTATGCTCACGCACACGGGAGGGGGTCTGGGGTATGAAGAGTTGTATGTCGGGCAAGCAGAAAACTACTGGGGGTTTCTAGTGTGGCTTCCATATGGGATAACTGGAGCTTAACATTTTAATTTCAGCACTTTAAGTGTTTGGTTAGTTCTACCTGATGGGCTAAATACTTGCTCACCAAACTAAATTTCTGCAGAGTGATAAAGTTTACCAACACCTTGGCACTGCTCTGCCCTCACTCAACCTGTTGTGTGTGGGAGGGAGAAACAGGCAGATTGCCACAGATATTGCAACTCATACCAATCAATTCCAACTCCTTATACATGATTAAACTAAGAAATGTCCTCAAACTCAGCACAAAATCTGAACAAAACACAATTTAGTATTGACGCATTCCAAGTACAGCACAAGATTATAAAAAGCTAGGGGCTGCCCAGGTAGCTCAGTTGGTCAGAGTGTAGCTTTATAACACCAAAGTCACAGATTCAGATCACCGTACCAGCCAGCTGTCAAAAAAAAAGAAAAGATTATAAAAAGTAAGAAAATGATTAAGGGCCAAGCCCGTGGCGCACTCGGGAGAGTGTGGTGCTGGGAGCGCAGCAGCGCTCCCGCCGCGGGTTCGGATCCTATATAGGGTTGGCCGGTGCACTCACTGGCTGAGCATGGTGCGGCCGGTCACAAAAAGGACAAAAAAAAAAAAAAAAGAAAATGATTAAGAGAAACCTAATAATTGTTGAGCCTTCCAGGATTCTCATAAAATCCCACCTCTCTGGGAAATCCACACAGAGGCCTGCTTTTTGGCCAGAGGAACATCACTTACTGGCTGACTGTGTTCATCTGCGGAAAGCTAAGGACTGGCTGACTGTGTTCATCTGTGGAAAGCTAAGGGTAGCCTGGCAGAAGGGCACAGGCTTTGGTTCTGGGTGGGCCTGGGTGTGTGTCTCAGGAAGCCCACCTAACCAGCTGCGCGAAAGTAGGCAAGTTACTTCTCTCTGCACCTCAGTTTCCTCACCACAAGACTGCCATGAAAAAACATACTTGGCCTCTTTGCTCTGAGGATTAATAAGATAATTTATGCAAAGTGCTTGCTGAGGGGCAGACCCTTGTGAAGGTCCCGATTAGTGGTACTTCTCAAGCACCCACTACACAAGCACTTGGGTCCGTTTATCTCATCTTGCCGAGTGCTCTCAAAACCCTTTTGAGGGGGAGACAGGGGCTGGTGTGGTAAGGTAACCTGAAAAGGCCACAAAACTTAGTTCACAAAGCAGGTTAAGAGTGTGTAGGCAGATGGAATGTGATTCTTTAAATTAAAAAAAAAAAAAAAATCCCTTTCAACCCACATACAAAATGCTCCAGTAGAGCCATCTCCAGTCAGTTAGGCAGCTGGGCGCTGGGCTAAGTGGTGCAAAGGGGCCTGTTAAGACAAGCATTTGCAGGAAAGGAGCAATGTGAAGAGGCTCTCAGAGCTCCTGCCTTCAGCAGGGTGCACAAGGTCTTTCTGGGCCCCATCTGGCCCGCAGTGCCAGAAAAGAGGAGGCCTGGAGAACCCAGGCACATTTGTGCTCTATAACTCCAACATGTACCCAGTGAGAGCATCCTAATGTCTCCTCGCTGTTCTGTGCTCTGATCATTTCTGTTCTGCAATTAAACAGGCTTTCATTTCTACAGAGAGCCATGAAATCCAGAAAAGGGAGCCCTGGGAGAAGGCACAGGTTTTATGGAGCTTTGAAAATGAAGTTCCAATTCTTGCTGCAGCTCACAGAACTCAGGGCCAGAGACATGCCTCCCCAGGCTGGGCCAGCACACCCAAGCTCACCTTGCTCCCTCACCAAGCCACACTCCTGTTTTTTAGCTGCTTCTTAAAAGTAGGACTAAGTTGCTTAGTAAAGTAGGTGGGGCCCCGAGAAACTATATCTGGGTTCTGGTCTCTTTAAAAGCAAGTAACCAAAATTAGAGGCTCTGGTAATCATCCCTGCATTGCAAGCAGCCCCATGCCTCATCCAAAGAGATTCCTAGTTCATATGCATTTTATGGAGCTTGTGACCTGGAAGTAACACGAATCACTGCACTTTGCTCAGCTCAGCCTTATGGCATCTACCTGAGAGTGAGGTAACCTGAACTCTGCAATTGATTCTGGTCAGGAATAAAGAATCTGAAGCCCCCAAATGGGGTAACGACGTGTCCAAACTGCACAGTCAATAATCCTTTAGTAGGTATTTGTTACCTAGCCCTGCTGGGAGAACTGGTTTACAAAGGTCATTTATTCTTTTTTTTTTTGGCGGCTGGCTGGTATGGGGATCTGAACCCTTGACCTTGGTGTTATAAAACCACACTCTAACCGAGTTAACTGGCCAGCCTCATTTATTCTTATATTTTGTATTTATTATGCACCTTGTGTTAGACAATGTCTTTAAATATTTTTTTTAAATCATAAAAGAATATATTCACTACAGAAAAATTTGGAAAATAGTTAAATAAAAAAAAAAAAAAAAACTCCAATAATTCCACTACCCTGAGATATCCATCAACAATGTGTCCTCCCAGACTTCTTCCTGAACAAGGAATGCTTGCACACACAAACATGCACATGTGTGCATGCAAATGGTTTTACGAAAATGAGATTAGTTTGTACCCTGCTCCCTCTGCTTAATAAAACATGAAGAGAATTCAATGTGAACAGTTATGGATATAACATCATCCTTTTTAAGAGTCCCATAGTACTGTATTGTATTATATGTATTGTATTGGTGCACTAGGATTTGTTTAACCACTTAAAGATGATGGATAGTTGCTTTCAATTTTTCAACATTGCTAACAACTCTTACAAAAATCTTTTCCGGCCGGCCCGGTGGCGCACTGGATAGCGCGGCGCTCCCGCCCGAGAGTTCGGATCCCACATACAGACCAGTTCCCGCTCACTGGCTGAGCGAGGCGCGGGAGCAGCACCGAGGGTTGCGATCCCGTTGCCGGTCCCCGGTCCGGTACGGGGGCAACACTGAGGGTTGCGATCCGTTGCCGGACACGGAAAAAAGACAAAAAAAAAAAAAAATCTTTTCCCACTTATCTGATGATTTTCTTAGAAGGAACTTCTAGAAATTAGATGGCTAGTTCAAAAAACAGGTTATGTGTACTTTGGAAAGGTTTTAACAATCTGTGTTCCCAACAGCGTTTCCCCACATCTATTTCTGTCAATCTGATAGTAGAGAAAACCGACATGGAATTAGTTTGTGTTACATGACTTAAGTACTAAATGAGGCTGAATGTCTTTTTTTTCTCTTTAATACCAATGTTATATTTCTTCCTTTGTAAGTCTCCTGTTCTCGATCTTTGTCCATTTTTCAAATCAATAAAAAGGTACACTATGGATATTTGTTCTTTTTTATATGTTTACAAATATTACCCCCACTTTGTCATTTTTTTTAGTTTGTTCAGGAAAAAAGAATGACATAATGATTAAGAGTCATCATGTCCTAGCCTTGTAACCTGGGGCAAGTTTCATCTGGCTGAGCTGCAGTTTTCTCATCTGTAAAACGTGGCTTACCAATTAAAGCTAACTCATGGGGTTGTTAAGAGATAATTCATGTAGAATCTATGGCACAGTGCCTGGCACTTAGTATTAGCTAGCACGTGTTATGCATAGTATTTTTTGGACAGTTCTGCTTTAACACTTATTTCAGAAATAAAATT